AACACAGTGCGATACATAATTTTGGGCGATGTTTTGAAAAATGCCGCTGAAAGTGGTAACAGAAATTAGAAACTCTGGACAGCTGTCTTACAGCGCAGATCGATCACAAACGAGACCAAACAAATGTAAAGAACCAGGTGTAGCACTCAGTCAAGGCAGCTGTACTAAAGTCCAATTTGATCAAGCCGTCTTACAACAACTTTTCCTTAATCTTAAGCCAAATTTTCAAGTTAGACGTTTCACTGGAGTCCGTACAATAACACAGAGCTGTGTTTAGGACTAAATGGCTCAACTTGTAGCGATCAAGGAAACGAATGACTTTGGGCACACCCTACACCTGTGCAGTCTACTTGAGAACCAAAATACAAGATGTAATCAGATTCCAAATATATAAAACATATAACCTGCTTAGATCCAAGAACCTAAAGGAATGGTAGCTGTCAAACCAAAATTTAATCCACATTTATACCACAACCAAACACACCTAGTAAATTCAAGCGCGAAAGTTATATTTAACCAAGCTTCAATCCGCTGGCTGCTCCAATTGCAGTTAAGACAATAAATTGAAGCTGATGGGTTCTTGTCGTCGCTATTGTTGTAGTAGCAATTTTGAACATCATTTCCCGTGATATCAGTGTTTCTATTGTAAAATGCTAACAAAATGGAATGACAATTTAATATCCAAACTAAAGCAGAAACCCCAACAACTTTAGATTCACAGCAAGTTTAAAGCAGAAGGAAATCACTTGGAAAATCGACAATAAATTGAAACTGGTGGGTTCTTGTCGTCGCTATTGTTGTAGTCGCAATTTTGAACATCATTCCCGTGATATCAGTGTTTCTATTGTAAAATGCTAACAAAATGGAATGACAATTTAATATCCAAACTAAAGCAGAAACCCCAACAACTTTAGATTCACAGCAAGTTTAAAGCAGAAGGAAATGACTTGGAAAATCGAACGGCAAGAATACATAGATATGTCCAGCCTATATTTTTTAGAAAATTTCGTTCCTCACTTCCTTACTTTACGGTAACCACGGGGAACGAAAAAATCTAAAATTTTAAGTTGACACAGGCTCGTATACATTCAAAAGCAATTCCAAAACCATAAACAAAATATAAGCAAAATTTTAGTCAGTTCCATAAGGGGCATTAATGAAAAAACGATGCACACAGTACTTAAATTGCCAGCATTTCCGACGCACCAATGTAGCCATACATACCACTCACAACTTTTCATGGTATATTAGGCAAGGACATAGATGTCAAAAACGACACAATATCTTATGAACATAAACTTAAATCTAGAAATCTAGCAATTAGCTACACAAGCCGTATATAAATAATTGGACCTCAAGTAAAAAATTATTGTTGAATCCACAAGCCTTTTTGTGCAGACATGATACTAGGGACTGGGCAGTGTGTAAGCTTATGACCTGTCCGTTTGCTTCTCTTTTTCATACTGATTTATTGGCAGCTTTAGCTGAGTTAACATAGTTCGTCTAACATAATTAATAACAGACTATGTATTGTAAAAATACATTGGGAAAGAGCAAATAGTAATATATCTGACTGCTGATCCCACTGGACTCCAAGTCCACTATTACGCCGTCTGTGCTTAGGTTAAGTTCCTTGCTAGTGTGACTTTGAGTGCCATTTAATATGTGAAAACTGACCGCGTTCCAGTATCATTCAGAAGACTTGATTCGATGTCTTGCATGAAGCATCGAATACCACTCGTAGCCTTGTGGACTCACTGGCTGGCTTCATCATACAATGATAAGGGATGTTGTAGTGTTTGTCACGAGCGCCATGCGGCTCATTTGTTCATACTCGTTCATGATCATCCTATATTATTATTATTATTATTGTTAAACGTTGATGATCTTAAGCAGGACAAACAAGTAGCCAATAGAAACCAATCCACAGCTTGTTAAGCGCGGGCCGTTTCAACATTGTGGGCAGTTATCGAGTCATCGAGAGGAACACACAAATAATATAATATAACAAAAAAAATGGAAAGTATGTACGATGAAAATAAGTTAAAATTGTAGTTTTTAAGACAGGCTTAGAGGTTAACTGACAAATTTGATTATGTAGAATTTTGAAACTATTACAAAGAAAATTCACGCCATGTACATGGCACATTAAATGTTAAGCGGCTTAACAGTTCTACGGAGCCAATATCTCCTTTGACAAGATAGTGCATATAAAAATAGTTACAAGCATGACTCTACGATTGTTATGGACCTGGTTCTTCGATGGGGCAAGGCCGGCTAGCCAGTCCATCTCGTGGTGGGGTTCTTCCCAGCCCTCAGTCCGCACAATAGCCCGGCTGATCGACCATCTCAGTCCGACGACATCAATAAGATCAAATGTAAACAAAACGAAATGCAAACAAAAATAGGATAAATAATGATAAACATTGGACGTTACTGGAAACTTTACTTGCACTGAACAATTTGGAGTTTAGGTGATGTACCCCGACACCCCCACCCTGCCTGAGATCCGGCATGCATCCTTCGCCAAATCTCCCTTCCGATGGCTATCATCAGCCTACTCCAGGGTCAGTCTCATTTCCCCCTCCCCATAGACGAACACTTAGCACAACATCCTCACGTTACAATTTTATTATTAACCATAAACATTCATCTTAAATTTTTGCTTTATATCTTCTGTTAACCTAACTCAAATGCAAATGCATCCCCTTGTTACAGCTGCGATGTCAAATTCATACGGCAACACTTCCTTTGAAATTGATTTAAGTTTTTATTACACCTTTGTTGACCCATATACGAATATATAAATATTGATCAATTCATAATTATTCATTTAAATTACCCTACATATTTGGAGCTCCAACCAGGGGTTTAATATTGAGATCAGCCCTATTTATACCCTCTGCCCAGCACCAGCATCACCCGGTTTTTTTCCCTGATCCCTTTCTCGGTTTTTCGCCAACGGCAGAGACCTCTTCCATTTGCATCACGTAGCCGCTCGGCTCTCATTCAGCTATCGGTGTGGGTGCAGTTCCTCATGGTTTGGTGTGGGTGGAGATACTTCTGGGCCAGGGGAGGTGGTGGAATCTAAGAGCGGATTAAGGTTCTCTTTTCTGACCGTCAACCAGAGCGCCTCTTACTCTCCACACTTCCCCTCCCTTTCTTGGCTCTGCTAACCTTTGAAAAACTGGTCACACTACCATCTCTTAGGGCGATATTTTCCTGTCGAACAACAACATTGATATCCTGCCTTGCCCCCCGATTTGCCTTTTGTGCCCAACGTAGGCCTACACCCACTAGACTCTTGTTTTGCTACCCAGGTATATATGTAAGTATGCGTGTGTACGTGTACAGCTACATCCACTATTTTTATTTACATTTTTAGGTCTTTTGCGTGGAAAATCCCAACAGGCTTCCCCCCCAGATCCTCCAATTCGTAGGCATTATTCCCTATAGGGCGTACGACTCGGCATTTCACATAATTTCGAGCAAACTTGGCATTGTACATCTTTCCAAAATTGCTCTGAGTGAAATTGCGTATGTAGATTTCTTGGTCAGGCTTGGCATGGAAAACTCGAGCCCGTTTATTATAGCGCTGACTGCTGCGTTCATATGCCTGATGAAGATTCTCCCGAATGTGATCGCGGATAAGTTGGCGCTTACCTACCGGATCCAGCGTCGTTATTTGATGTTCTGTGAAAGACTGCAGTTTTCTTGCCAGTTTGTAGCAGTTTCCATTTAGGAACATCTGTTGTCCAAATACTGCAAAGAACGGTGTTACACCCGTGGCCTCATGCACGGAATCACGAATCGACACTCCAATTTCCGGTAAGTATAGGTCCCAGTCTCGATTATAATTTTCTAAATACGTTCTAATTGCAGCTAGAATGGTCCGATTTACCCTCTCGGCTGCGTTGCTCTGTAGTGAATATACAGCGGTACGCATGTGGTGAATGCCGAATGCCGTGATCATGTCTTGGAATATTTTCGACACGAACTGTTTCCCATTGTCGGAGTGAATTACCTCAGGTACGCCAAATTTGTAAAACACCTCGTGCACCAGGAATTCGACCACGTTCCCAACACTCGCCTCCTTCATCGCTTTTAAAAAGGTAAATTTCGAAAAATGATCTACAACAACAAATATATATAATTGTCCCTTTTTGGACCTGGGATACTTTCCAAGAAAATCTATATAGATCTTCTGAAACGGCCGTTCCGTGACTACTTCTTGACCAATTCCGACTTGACAACGATAATTTGGTGGTTTTGATTCCTTGCATTTGGTGCAATTCCGGACATACTCCCGCACTTGTGTCGTCATAGCCGGCCAGTAGAAATGACGTTTCAGACGATGAAGTGTCTTTTTCATCCCCCCCGTGTGCAGCTTTGTGATCCTCGTGCGCGTTCGCTATTAGTGTAGATGTTATTCCTGTCGGGATCCACAGCTTCCAAATTGAGCCTTCTACTTGGTCGTCAAGTTGTTCGAATGTCGTTCTTTTGAAGACTAATCCTCCATCTACGCGTAAATCAGGCAATGTTGCTATATTTCGACTAATTTCTTCTCTTAATTCTTGGTATTCCGCGGACTCGAATTCTGTCGTCTGAAACCCAATGGCATCAGATAAATCGAAACTCAGCTCTGCTATGCAGCGTGATAGGGTGTCAGCAACCACGTTTTCAGTTCCCTTGCGATGCTCAATTTTAAAGTTGAAACTCTGAAGCCTTAAAGACCACCTTGCCAAACGCCCGTTTAGATCCTTGAGGGACACTAGCCACTTTAGGCTTGCGTGGTCCGTGATCGCAGTAAACGGCATCAGCTCCACGTAAGGCCTAAACTTTTCAACTGCTAATACCGCTCCCAGACATTCTTTTTCAGTGACGGAATACAAAATCTGATGTTTATTCAGCTTGGAAGAGAAGAAAGCTACGGGACGTTCTGAATTTTCGTCGTCCAACTGGAACAATACTGCTCCCACGTTTAAAATCAGCATGGACTAATACTGGGGCTGTAGTTAGCGCCATCTTTAAGTGCTTTATGGCCTCGACAGCCTCCGGAGTCAAGGAAAACTTGCCCCTTGGATGTTTCTTGAGGGCGTCAGTTAGCGGTGCTGCAATGGATGCAAAGTTTTTTATGAATCGTCTGTACCACCCTGCTGTACCTAGGAAGCTTCGTAACTCCTTTACGTTCTTCGGATCAGGAATCTTCTGTATGGCCAAGACTCTTTCTGGATCCATTTGCAGCTTTCCACCCCCAATGATAAACCCAAGGTATTTTAAAGATTTGAAACAAAATTTAGACTTCTTTAACTCTATCGTCAAATTTGCTCGTTTCAGGCATTGTGCTACCAAACGAAGATATCGCAGATGCGTTTGGAAGTCAGGAGCTATCACCAGAAGATCGTCCAGATAGACAAATACGTTTGATCGTAGTTGTGTCGGAATGACTTGGTCCATCAATCGACATAATCTTTGGGCCGCATTGCAGAGGCCGAAAGGCATCATCACGAATTGGTAAAGTGGTCGTCCGGCTACTGTGAAAGCGGTATACTTCCGGCTTTCCGGTTCCAATTTTATTTGCCAGAACGCAAATTTAAGATCGACGCTAGATATATAATATGTCTGGTCGATCCTAGACAATATGCCTTCGATACTCGGGAGAGGGTAGGCGTCCTTTACGTCCAAGCAGAATCTGTTTTTATCTGGCTTTCGCACGACCGTTGTTCTATTGCTCCACGGACTGTCACTAACCTCTATAACCCCTAGCTCTAGCATTTCGTCTACTTCCTTCCAGACCACTTCCTGCATCGCTGGTGATAGCGGGTAAAAACGATCTTTAAACGGTACTGCGCCCTCCACCAGCTGGATCTGGTGCTGTTCTGCTGCAGTCGTTCCTAGCCCGGCTTCTTCGTAAGTCAAAAATTCCTTCTTCACGTTTTCCAACTCCTCAGCTTCATTCTTTCCCAGGTCCCAAGCTTCTACCTCCGTTTCTTGTCTTCTATCTTCCGCATAGTGGCTGATCTGGGACATCTTGACTTCAGCTACTTGAGCTTGACTGGATTCGCTGTTTTCGTCGCCTAGAACTGCTGGAGCCAACTCAAAAGATCTCCAGAAATCGATCCCCAAGTACATCGATTGTTCCAGGTACGGGCATATGTAGAAGAGAATGTCCTTAACAATCCCCTTATATCCAACAGGAAGCTTTATTTTCCCGATTATGGATCTGTCTTCACCGGCAGCTGTTTTAACGACGGACACATATCTGTCCATCTCTACCCCGAGTTTGGCCATCAGCTCTCTACTGTCTTTGCCCAGTAGACTTACGGAGGCTTCTGTATCCAGCAGTCCCGCAATCTTCCGGCCGTGTATGGTCACCTCAGCGAAAACCCTTGGATCCGTTCTCGTTCCACGTTGGATTGCTTCAGCCACCTCCTGGCGCGTTTGTCGCCTCTTCTTAAAGCGGGAACGGGTCTTTAGAAGCCTGCGGCTGACTCCCCGCATACCTTCAAGCTGTCTGGCGTCAAAAATCCTGTTTCGTACTTCAATATATCTTTTTATTCTTTCTTCTGCTGGTAGAAATCTTAATTTATTAATCCCTTATCTATTTTGTTTATTAATAATATACTGATAATTTTCTTCTTCCTTATCATCTACTTCCACGCAGGTTTCTGGCCCAAGCGTTGCTCGCCTGCTTTCGTCACGCTTAGTCGGCCGTTTCCCGGACAATTCGGACATGTCGGAGTAAAGTGTTCCGGTTTCCCGTAGCGGTAGCAAAAGATTCTGCGTTCCTTGGCCACACAATCGCGGAACCCGTGATCAAACTGTCCGCAGTTCCAACAACATATCCTCTGCTTGGTCAACAGGTGAGCCTCCTCTATAATCACCTCTTCTTCCTTGTACTGCGATTCCGGTTCCGGTATGATTTCTTCGACTCTCTTTCCAGAGGACGAAAACTTCTGCCGTATGCTGGCCTGGGCTCTCGTCTGACAAAAGTGTCTTCCACTTCCAAGCATTCCTCGCGAAGCTGTTCCACGCTTCGTACCCTGACTGCGTAAACATACCGAGCGATATCCTCAGCGAGTCTTTTCTTAATCAACCGGATCATTTCGGACTCCGACATGGGTTGGGTAAGTCTAGTAGATAATCGTCGCATGGCTCCGAAATAATCCTCGACTGATTCCCCAGGTCTTTGTCGCCGTTCATGGAGAGCGCGTAGCCGCTCAAACTCACCACCGACGCCTCGAAACCTGGCGACAATTTCGTCCTTTAGTTCTGCCCAAACCTCGGGCGGTCGCTCACGAACAAATTGCCAATACCACTCGGCCGCTTTGCCCCTGCCCAGGTGAAGAAAACTGTCGAGGTCCTCATCCCAGGAACACCGACTTTGCCTTCGAAGAAACTCGACCCGGAAAACAAAATCTTCCACCATCATTTTGTTTGGGTCTCCATCGAAGTATATCTCCCACTTTTCAACTCGTCCCCACCTTGTAAATCTACCCTCGGCCTCCCTTTCCGCTTGCTGACGCAAGGCTCGCCCATCATCGAACCTAGGAGATCTCTGGATGGGTTCGTTCTGCGCGGAATACTGTTTTGCATCTAGCGATTGCGGACGTTGTGTATGCGGCGAAGCTGGAGGTACGCCTGTGGAATATTTTGGCTTAGTTCCAGTGCTCTTCCTGTCCTTCTCATCCTGCCTGCTGCTATGCCTGCTATCACTTCCGTCCTTCGCTACTTCTTGCATCTGTAGCAACTCTACTTGCTGTTTCAATGGTCCCATTGCCTCGGTAACAGCAATCATCATTTCAATAAACCCGCGCCGGATCTCCTCTTGCAAAGATCGGCTTATGGACTCCATCATTCCACCTCGTTGCGTCTCCTGAGCCTGGGCTAAGGCCACATTGACAGCCGATGTGATTTCCGATGGCAGGACCTTCGATGCTACTGGCAAATTCCAGCTGTCATCGTCTCCTTCTTGATGCTCCTTCCGAGGATTCCCTGGCGGAGGAGTCCTGTCTACCATTTTCCCCTTTGGCCTTAAAAAATACTTGCTCATCAACTTTTCCAAATCTATCTCTACTTAGATGTTTTACTAATATTTATCTTTTAATTTTTTTATAGTTTCGAACCGGCTGCGCATCCACAACACACAATGACAACAGAAAACAAAATTTCACAACTACAACAAGGAGGGAAAAACTCAACATTCACCGGAGCCAACTTCACCCCGGATTTCAGTGTCTTCAATTTCCAGCACAAGTTTCTCGGTGAGCGCTGTTGACCATCCCATCTTCCCCAGAAGACTAGGTGTCAAGGGCGCTCGCCATTCTATTATATATACTTCCCCTTACTTACATCACTAAATGATTGTTCTAGGAGTGAAGAGCCGCCATGAGTGCAACGCGTGGCCGACTTCTCTGGTCCCCACGGGCTACTCACAGTCGATATTCCACATCCTGACCTCATCAGGGGTAAGTAAGGGAAGTTTTCCCTATTTGGACTATATCTGATTCCGGTTATTATTCTGCTTTATTTTCCAGGCGCTCGAGTAGCACACCAAGCATCGGGATAGTCGCTAACTAGCCGAAGAAATATTTTCTGCTAGTGCCGAACCACCTTTACCGAGCACCCTCTTCCGTTCGTCAGATAAGTACCAATCTCTTTCAACAAAAAAAAATTTCCATTTACTTTGGGGTATCTTTGCTTCCAGATCCCCCGGCACCGCTCTACTATGAACCGACCATCAGGTCCTTCATAGGCCATCAGTCACCGAGGTACCCGAATCACCAAGTCCCTTCCGAGATCCTACCTCTCGGCTGGTTATTTATAATTCCCACCGGTGTGCAATTCGCATCCTTTTCAACCTTTTGGATGATAGGATCAGCGAATCCACTCCTGCCTTTAAATTGGGCGCCATCTATTGTTATGGACCTGGTTCTTCGATGGGGCAAGGCCGGGTAGCCAGTCCATCCCGTGGTGGGGTTCTTCCCAGCCCTCAGTCCGCACAATAGCCCAGCTGATCGACCATCTCAGTCCGACGACATCAATAAGATCAAATGTAAACAAAACGAAATGCAAACAAAAATAGGATAAATATTGATAAACATTGGACGTTACTGGAAACTTTACTTGCACTGAACAATTTGGAGTTTAGGTGATGTACCCCGACACCCCCCACCCTGCCTGAGATCCGGCATGCATCCTTCGCCAAATCTCCCTTCCGATGGCTATCATCAGCCTACTCCAGGGTCAGTCTCATTTCCCCCTCCCCATAGACGAACACTTAGCACAACATCCTCACGTTACAATTTTATTATTAACCATAAACATTCATCTTAAATTTTTGCTTTATATCTTCTGTTAACCTAACTCAAATGCAAATGCATCCCCTTGTTACAGCTGCGATGTCAAATTCATACGGCAACACTTCCTTTGAAATTGATTTAAATTTTTATTACACCTTTGTTGACCCATATACGAATATATAAATATTGATCAATTCATAATTATACATTTAAATTACCCTACCTATTTGGAGCTCCAACCAGGGGTTTAATATTGAGATCATTTTTATCTCGGGGTTTCTAAACTTATTAATATGAGACTTTTCCTTTTTCTACATTCGCATATAGTTGTGTAGGTTATTTACTTTACTTGCTAATTTACATCCCAACTGCTGCGAGACCTCCGCAAATTTACATATGTAATTTTATGCAAATGTATATTCTTTTCCTTGTTTCACGAAATTCTGATTATATCAAATTCTTTTTACTTACAAATACTACTTATATTATTTAGGAATGTTCTATATAGACATATGTTAAAAAACAATATATGATGTATGTATGTGGGATATATATAAGTTTTAGTGGTGCATAAATAATTCAATAAATTAACATATAAACTTAGATTAAGGTGGACGAACGACTTTTATTTAAATTATTGGGACGAAATTTTAAATAATATTAAGAGGGAATGTTTTATTTAATTTACTTAAAAACTATTTTAAGTCTTTCATCAATGCTGCTTTCATATTTTAACTTTTGTAGAGCAATAATGTTTTATAGTCGACAAAAAAAATTTCAACGAAAACAAATCCATTGCCAGTGTAGTCCGGCTAATTCAAAAGGTTTTAGGTATGTATATGATTAAAGGAATAATTCTTCCTGTCGTGGTCTGGCCCGGAGCCGGTTGCACGTGGTCCAGATATCGTGTAATTTATCTTTATTTCTTTTATTTATTTATTTATTTACTTCGCCAACGGTGACCTTAACCGGAAAATTTTAGATTATCTTTCCTTTTTTTTTCTTTTTATATTAAATTTTTTCTTTGGAACGGACTTACTTCTTCGTTGACGGTGCCTTCTTTTCCCGGTCCCGGTTGCGAGTCCTGTTTCCTGTCCTGTCCTGTCCAAAC